TTATTAATCAGTCAATCAAAAGTAAATTATTTGCATCAGAATCAATTAAACATTCACAAATAAAGAGAATATTTCATTTATAGTCCAATCCTAAGAAATAAAATCTTAATTGACGATACAGAGAACAACTTCATTCTCTAAATAAGTGATTTCTTTAAAATTTAATCAATTAAATCTTGATTTCTAAGTGACATTTGAACTCGAGATCTCCAATCTCACAATTTTGAAAATATCTTCAATTAAAACAAAGTTGATTAATATTCCTATCTATTTTTCCAATTCCATCTTCACTTTTGAGGTGCACGGCCCATTTCCCACAAGCAAGCACTAACAAAATTCCAAATCTCGAATACCTAATTAGGGTTTACTTTTTGCCAGAACACCTCATATATATGTAGCCAAAAGTGGGGGATTATGTCCTAAACATTCAATTAACTAATTATAAAACTTGTAATAAAGCAAAAATTAAACACTCCATTTCTTTTTATTCTTCTAGGATGAAGATTTGAACATACCCTTTTTCCCATATATTAAGCAGATTATGTCCCCATGTGTTTTTCTAGTGAGACCAATCTCAAATTGGCCCACTTGCACTCTTATTTCAATTTGATTGATTATACACTAATTCCGCGTTTTGATCAATTAATTGTTAATCACAAATGATAATAATATATATAGTTGTAAAGTCTCTAGCATCCGATTTGATTAGATGTAAAGATGGCATTCACCAACTAATTAATAATATATTATATATATATATATATATATATATATTAGATATATAGATATATATAGATATAATATATATATATATATATTGAGATATATAATATAATTTATTTGAATTCAAGCTTGCCATTTTTTGGATATTTAGCTCTTCATTTTTATTTTCTGTCTCTGATATATAGTTTTCACTTGAACATCAAACAAAGAAAATTAAGAAATATGTAACTACATAAATGGACATGCATGCTTCAAGTCAATTTGGTTGCTTCATTCTTTTCATTTTGCATTGATTTGATTTGATTTCTAAAATAATGTAAGTTGTGGAAATTTTTTCTTCATAACTTCCTTTTTCTTTTCGTTATCTTTTACGACTAATTTTTTCTTCATTTCTTAACTTTGAACAATACGTTCAACTTGCAAGGATAGTATAGTGTTTAAGCATATCTAAAGGGTTGAGAATCCATGACCAATATAGTGAATTCGAGCCCCTTTGTTTAAAATCCTAAAGGCAAGCTCTTTATTTGCTTTCCTGAAGAAGCGGAAAATAGTCAAGCTATATAGACCGTCAAACAACGCAAAAAATCTGAACACCTCACGATGAAGACTGGAAAAAAAACATAATTTCATTGTAAAAATTTATGTACAATACTATATTAATATTTATCTCCGCAAGTATAGATTTTCCACAATAATTCCTGTCAAGGTTTGATTCCATTACAATCTTAAATTGACTAAAATAGTAAAGATTCATACTATTCTTCTTCTTCTCCCTCTCCCCCCCCAAAAAAAAAAAAAAAAAAAAAAAAAAAAAAAAATATATATATATATATATATATATATATATATATTATATATATATATATTATATATATATATAATACCAAATATATAAGAATATTTCCGGCTTTCGTAAATTCGACTTATATATAATACCAAATATATAAGATATATCCGGCTTCGTAATTCGACTCTAGCGAGTTGTATTCATTTCTCGTGCTTAATTTATATCCCCTTATAATTATAGCCTAACAAAATTTCGAGTAATTTTTTCCTTTTGGATTTTTTAAAAAAGGATAATGGATATTGGTCTAAAAATAAAATCAAACTGAACAAGTTCAATTCAATTTAGTTTTAAAGTACATTTAGTTTATTTTCTATATCGAACTGAAAGATGAAAATAAAAGTTACGTAAAGGTGAGAAACCGAACAAGATAAACTAATTTAAATAGTCAAATTAAAAATAAAACTAAATCAATTTGATTTGATTTGATCGTTGATTTTAACCGATATATACTCATTCATATATGTATTGAGCTAATTTAGTAGATATTTGATTTAAATAAGTGTATTATTTTCTTTTTTACTGTAAAAAAAGTTGTAATAATAAGAAGTGATACTCTTTTTTTAAATAATGATTAATTATTATATAAAATGGTGACCGAGAAATAATTTTTCATACTTTGAGAAACCCATATGATTTTTCTTTTTTTAAGAATTAATAAGGGAGAGATCATGCATGCAACTAAATACAAAGTATAAATAAAATAAAAGCATAGATAAACGAGTAGTATATCTCTCTCCATAACCATAACCATAACATGTACTTTTATAAGAAAACATAAAATAAAACAAACCAAATAGCTTTTTGAAGGTTGGTGGTGTCGGAATCTAATTCCCCCCTATCTAATCAATGTTTCGCAGAAGAATATCATCTTTAACTCATTTTCATGCAAAAAGTAAGTCTTCTTCTCATTTATTTATCGTTTTATGGTAGGATAAATCATGGCCATCCATTAACGGAGACCTAGTCTTTTTGTTTTTGTTTTTTTTAAGCTGAACGACACCGTTTTCATTTTCCTCCTTTGAGATTCCCTGTTCATGTGCATGGCATGATTTTCAGTGGCGATGCTGTAAAATTTACAAATCAACGCTATTTCTACTATAGGTCAATTGGAACCCACATCCACCTAACCATAGTTAAATACAATCATGCAAAGTATCTATCCAAGCTAACAGGCTTTCTCAATCCTCTCATAACTAGTCTGAAAATATAAAATAAATATCTGGCAAAAACAATACAGTCGGATCATGAAAAATTTTAAGTTTTACATTATTTGGATACTGAATGAAAAGCCTAAATATATATATATACACAAAGATATAGTTGGAAAGGAAGGTTGTTTGCAGCTTTTGTCACCCCATTATTGTGTTCACTTCTTGTCACCTCACTTCCCCACATAACCTTTTCTCTCCAAGAGAAGATAATGAATTTACATAAAAGATTAAATAACCTTATCAAGAGCAGATATTTAGAAGCTGTAAATATATTAAGAAGCAGACAATAGTGTGGTCACGTGCTCATCCCGTGTGAAGATTCTTAAGTTAGATTCCAAAATAATTTTTTAACACTTGCAAACGTGCCACTAATATGATCATTACAAAAAGAAAAGTTTTTTTGCTTATTCAGTATTTTTGTTACTGGATAATTTTTTGAGTTCAACTTATGGGTTTCATGTAAGGGAGAATTGAACCCAAATGAGTTGGACACATATTGGGCCTGTCTGGGCCATGATCCAAAGTGTATACCCATATTCTTTGATAGGCATCATAGGCTGAGGAAATTCAGCTAGGAAACCATAGGCTTGACGCTTGACACCTGAAACCAAGAAAACAAAACTAAATAGGCCTTCAAAAATTCATATATCAGACACCTTGTCTACAATATCAATTGTCAGTTTTTCCAAAGGAAAATAGACACTGATAAAATTTATCACCTCTCAGGAAACTTCAAGTTTCCGAGTTCACTCACCCCCAACTAAACAAGATCTGGTTTCAATGGTTCACTTGAATGATAGTGTCATGATGGCGTTGCGAAATGTAAAATCCCATCTTGGAAACCCTTTGCTTCTTCTTGGATTTGATCTAGCTTCGTTGCAGATTCAATTCTATCTTCCATTCTTCATATAATAACTATCACAAGTATAGCAATGAAAAGAACAAGTTGTAAATTAGGGTAGGAAATTGGATTTAATTATAAAGTCCATGAAATGTAAAAATCTTTACGTTCCATCATTTTGTTTGAAAAGCATAAATCTACGGATTTTAAACATATTTTTGAAATAAAATTAATTAATTTAAATTACATTATGAATAAAAACTATGCAATTGAGAAAATCTCACCTCTAAAGGAATTTGGCAAATCCATGGATTTGATAAATTTTATCCATCCAAATATGTCCACCATTGCATCTTGCAACCAAGTGATTCAGTGTGCACCAACTAATAGACTAAATTATCTTAGGTACACATTTTTTTAAATATAAAGGGGTAAGACTATAAATAAATTAAGCCTTCCAGAACTTTTTGTGAGCTTGATCTCTACTAATTTATAAATAATTAAATTCGAAATTAGTTCAAACTGACTCGATAACTGTAAATGAGTTAAATTCAAACTCTAATTTGGACTCAAATTTTACTAAACCAATGAGACTATATTAACTGAACTAAAACTATTTTATTTTGATATTAATTTAATTAACGTTGGATTATTTAGCTAGTTAGTAAGCCACTTATAAACAGACTTGCGAGCCTATGAAATGAGCTTCAGCAAACTTTTATTGAATGGAGCATCAAAGACTTATGAGTGGGTTGACTCAATTACAGCCTTATAGAGAAGAGCTAAAATTCAATCATGAAAACTTAAATCATGCAATTATCATTGGCTTCTTAAATGGTTAATTAGGAATATAATAACTCAATGTCGGATGTCATTCCATTAAATTTATAAACTTATGGTCGACTAATTTTACTATCCTAAGAGAGACATAATTCTAGGAAGAGATCATTATCGAGTGGGCTCGAGTCGAATTTTATGATATTCATATTCTATCGGCCAATAAAAATTAATATTCATCATATATCCATTCTGCATAGATTTTAGTTTTGTTGCAAAATTATAGTAATTTAAGAAGATATATTTTGTTAAAAAAAAAAAAAACAGAAGAGAAAAGAAACTTTTTCTTTTTAAACTAAATGAGAGCCAGACGTAGCTGAACCAAGCAACATATGACATATGGCATAGATTGTTTTAACTGACCTATTTCAAATGAGGAAAATAAAACACCAAGATTTTCCCCCACCGTTTTAAACCCACCTTAATTTATTTTGATCAAACGACAAGTCGATTTGCAATATGCCGATCACACATCAGGCCAAAATAAATATGGCCAATCAGTTTGTTTCCTATAATTGCGCGGTAACTCCTAAACCCTAAACCTAGAAAAGACTGGTTATTCTCTTCCCACAAATCCTTTCATCGTACTGAAAAACACAAATATCTAACATCATCGGCCATGTTTACTCATAATTCAACACAGCATGTACTGAAGAAATGAAACCTAGGTTTTAGATCGCTTCCCCTGAAAAGCTTGAACAAGTGAAAACTGCAATCCTTGATTTACAGTTCATATCATTATCAACTGTTCACAATAGAACTATTAATGGCTTCTCCTCCTTCGGGAAAAGACAATCAAAACTTATTGTTTAAGACTCACAAACCCCACTTTTTCAAGGTAGTTCTTGATAATGCTCTTCGTGATAGGAAGCTTGTAAGTTCCTCTTCTTCTCTATCTTTTTTTTTTTTTTTTTTTTTTTTTTTTTTTTTTTTTTTTTTTTTTTTTTTATTTTTTTTTTTTTTTTTTTTTCTTTTCTTTTCTTGTTTTTTTTTTTTTTTTTTTTTTTTTTTTTTTTTTTTTCTTTTCTTTTCTTGTGTTATAATGTCATGGGTATGCTCTATTTCTTTTTTCTTTTGTTTCTATTCATTTGTATAATTTGTTTCCAGTTTCTTTTTTTATTCTTATTTGGATAATTATAGGTTCGAAAAATCTCCATTTTATATAAATGACTTAGAATTTTGATTTTATGGTTATACATAAATGTCAGAAGTAGGCTTTTAAAATTGGTTGCTATAGATTTTACCGAGATATAGAGCAGAATTTTTCTGGGTTTTTTTTTCCCTTTTCTGATTAGTATAATTCTTGTTGTTATTGATAGATATTTGGTTTTATGCTTTTTTATTGTACATATCAGGAAATTCCTAAGGAATTTGTAAGGAAGTATGGAAATGATTTGCCAAGTTCCGTAGTCCTTAATGTCCCTACCGGTGCAAAATGGAAAGTAGAGCTGTTCAAATGTGATGGTGAGATTTGGTTCAGAAATGGGTGGCAAGAATTTGCTGAGTATTACTCTTTAGCCCATAGTTACTTTATAGTTTTTGAATATGATCAACACAGCAATTGCCATTTCAATGTGCTCATACTTGACAAGAGTGCCACAGAGATTGACTATCCGGTTAACTACAATGGAGATGATGAGGAGATTAATAATCTTGAGAAAGCTGAAAATGGCAGTCCTCATAAGAAGACGAAGATAGAGAAACCCACAACAAAATTTGAACGTATGGGATTTGTAGAATTCATACTGAATTTTTATGCATGTGAAAAGATTGTTTTTATGTCTAAACTAAAGTGTTTAATTTCTGCAGCAAAGAGAGGCGATGCTGAGAAGCCTAGAAAAAGAAAGAAGTTCAAAAAGGCGGTTTTGAAGGCACAAAAATTGGCACATGATGAGAAAGAGGTTTTGCTTCAGAAAGCAAGAATGGTTTTCTATTCTAAAAATCCATTTTTCATGGTTGCAATGCAGTCTTCATATGTTCATAAAGGAGAGAGATTGGTAAATGTTAATTCTTTGAAATTTCAAAGATTAGTAGATTATGATTAATTCATTACAATTTTTCATGTTTTCAACTTTGCCTTTTAACTCTTTCTATTAATTATTTGTTTTCCCATTCTTCCTCCTTTTTGAACACTTGTTCAGCATATTTCATCAAGCTTTGCCAAGAGGCATTTGAATGAGAAGCATGGTGATGGTACCCTCAAAGTTATGGATGGGAGGACGTGGTCTATTCGTTACCATGTGGAAACAAGTAGAGGAAGACCAAGAGTACTGGTTTATAGCGGTTGGAACAAATTCTCCCGAGAAAATCATTTGGAAGTTGGTGATGTTTGTGTCTTTGAACTGACTAATCCCGCAGCAACTACGATGAATGTTACCATTCTGCGCTATTCTAAAAATGCCAATAGCAACCCATCACTTGGTCAGTTTTGTTCTATCCAAGTGTTAATTTTATTTTCATCTTATCGAGAGATGAATTGCAATAGAACTTACTCGATTTTGTGCAGGTAACAAGAAGTTGAAACACGAAGAAGAGACTTCCAACTGCCAGCAATTTAATAGATGGGCTTCCTTCCAAAATGATAGCTCAAGATATCCATTCTTTAAAGTGGTTATCCAGCCATGCAATTTACGTAGTCCCTTGGTAAGGCTCTTTGAACAACATTCATGATGACAGATTTCAAGAAAACAAGCAAATTTAAGAACAAAAAATTTATATGGGAGGCTTTTCAAGAAAAAACTTGGAGCTTTTTGGCCCATTAGTACTTGAGTTTGCAGTATTTATGGAGGATTTGTGTTTCTTTGTGCAGAATATACCAATGAAGTTTGTTATAGAACACACAAAGCAAACCACAGAGGATGTGATTTTACAGATTGAAAACAGACGGTGGCCTGTCAAACTACTCAGCTACCCAAGTCAAAGTAAGTTGTCTGCTGGATGGATTTCATTTGCTAAGGAAAATTCTATCCGAGTGGGAAATGTTTGTATCTTTGAATTGATCAATAGCGAAAGCACGTTGTTTAAAGTCTCCATTGTTAGAAAATAGAAATGTTAATTAACCTCTTGTATGTTCAAGATTTTTCTAATGTAGCAGATTTTTCTGAATTCGAGCTTGTTATTTAAGATTGCAAGTCGTTTTTAGATCGACACAACAACATTTCGGTTGCTTGGATTTACAGACAAACAAATTCAGAGGCTCATTCTCTTGGTAGAGTCTCCTATAAATATGCTTGTTTTAAGATTTGGAATGTAATCCCTGAACATTTATATGATTTCTACTCATCTGGTTAATGCATTATCATTTACCTCTCAAATAAGTTGCAATCAGGGATTTTTTTTTTTTAAAATTTTTTTGGAAGGTTGCATTTTAAATTTTTTTCATTATCAAAATTTGCAAATCTGGAATCAGATTTCGAAATTAGTTTCCCAATTCATTATACCGAAATTAATTTTAGGTATGATGAATGAATACTCCATCAAATGTTCATATAAAAATAAATAAATGACTTTCTTGGTATTGGTAAATAGCCTTAGTGGACACCTAAAAAGGGAATGGAAGGATTAATTTTGAACTTTTTGTGTCTATTTAAATACAAAATTAATTTTATAATATGATTAAATAATTTTTCAAGTCAATTGTAAAATTTTATATTAGTGAAAAATTAAATGGATGAATTCAAAAGGATTAAATGGTCAATTTAATGTTTTATTCAAAAAATAAAAAAGGTAAAAGAAGAGAGAAGGTGAGTTATAATGGTATTTATTTAAGATTGATATAACTTCATATAAGTGAGGGCATTTTCATCTTTTTTTTATCCATTTAATGGAAAATCTTTTAGTTATTTTTCACAGAAAAACCCATTTTTTTAATAAAAAAAAACATATATTATTTCATTTTTAAAAAGGATATTATGAATAATTGATTAGGTCAAATCTCACAAATTAAATAATAATTTATACTTAAAAAATTAAAAAATAAAAATAAAATATTAAAATCATAAATCGTATTGGTTATTGATTATTTTTCTGTTATTTTGTAGCAGTAAGTACTTCATACTTAATGGCCATCTCTCTTTTTCTGTCTTCTCAAGCATAGCAAAAGCTGTTTCTGCTTTTGGGCAGTTGCACTAATCAGGAAACTGCTTTTAGGAATCCTTTTTGTTTTGACTAAATCCATGTTGTTGGAAATGGCAGATAGAGCAGAGTATATGTACTTCACTTTTATCATAGTTGATTTCTCATTTTTCTTTTCATACCTAATTTCATTTTCCTTTTACACCAGAGTTTTCTATCCGTTGTGTCGAATCCTTAAGCTATTGGAGATTCCCTAAAAATGACATATAAAACTGTGTTTCTTCGTACCAGAGTTTAATAATGTCTGAAGTCTTGATTCAATATAAGTACTGAAACATGCCTTAATTGTCACTGAATCGTACTGTTCATCCTATCACAGTTCACACTATCTCCTCAAGTTTCAAAATTTTTTATTTCTTTATGGAGTTTTTATCTTTCTACCAGAAAATGGTTTTATAAACCTGTGAAGTGATGGCTCATATGTCATAGTAGAACCCTCTTTAGGATTAGGATGGCTTCTTCTTCTTCTTCTCGCAAGATAGGCCATACCTTTGAGCCAACGAAACCCCATTTTTTCAAGGTAGTTCTTGGTCATGCTATTCGTGATAAGAAGATTGTAAGTCCTCTCTCTTCTTCTCTTCTTTTTTTTTTTTTTTTTTTTTGTGATAAAGAAGATTGTTAAGTCCTCTCTCTTCATTCTCTTCTTTTTTTTTTTTTTTTTTTTTGCCATTTTTTTCAATATAGTTCTGTCATCTTTTTTTTTTTTTTTTTTTTTTGCCATTTTTTCAATATAGTTCTTCATTCTTTTCATCAATGGCTCTGTATTTTTTTTAATTGTTTGTTGCTTCCTTTCGATAATTGAGTTCCTCTAAGATATATAGCATAAAATTTCTGGGTTTTTAATCCTTTTTTTTCTGATTTGCATGAAAATTTTAGATCTACATTTTACATAAATGGCTTTAATTTTTTATTTTATGTTTATATGTTTGTAACTTGATTTATGCTTTTATGTATATATATCAGGATATTCCTATGAGATTTGCGAAAAAATATGGAAACTACTTGCCAAGTTCTGTAGTCCTTAAGGTTCCTAGTGGTGCAAAATGGCAAGTACAGCTGATCAAGAGTGATGGTGTGATTTGGTTAGGATATGGGTGGCAAGATTTTTCCGATTATTATGCCTTAACACTTGGCTCATTTCTTATTTTTGAATATGATAAGAAAAATTGCTATTTCAATGTTATCATATTCGACAGAAGTGCTTCAGAAATTGACTATCCATATATAGTCAATGGTGACAATGAGAGGATTAATAATCTTGAAGAAGCTCAAAATGATTTCTCTGGTCAAAACTTGGAAGATTTCTTGCCCAACCGGAAAGTAAAAGAGGAATCACCAGAGAGGATTAATAATCTCGACAGAAGTGCTTCAGAAATTGACTATCCATATATAGTCAATGGTAACAATGAGAGGATTAATAATCTTGAAGAAGCTCAAAATGATTTCTCTGGTCAAAACTTGGAAGATTTCTTGCCCAACCGGAAAGTAAAAGAGGAATCACCAGAGAATCCCACAAGACCAAAGACTTGTAAAAAGAGGAAATTAGAGAATCCCACTAGAAAATTTGAAGGTGTGTATTCTATTTTGTGGGTTTGAAAGAAAAATCTCAGTTTCTGTTTTTTCATGGTTGTTTTTGTTTTTAACCTAAGGGTTTAATTCTGCAGCAGAGAAAGGCCATGGATGCTATTCTGGTAAAAACCAACTGTTGACAAAAATTGAAAAGGCTATTGTGCTTCATAGAGCAAGAACTGCTTTCAAATCTGAAAATCCATTTTTCATGGTTGCCATGAACCCTTCATATGTTCAAGCAGGGCGTAAAGTGGTTAGCTTTAATTCACTTGAAATTTCAGATGTGTTAATAACATTTCGAGTTTTCAACTCATCTTTTTGGCTTTTTAATAATTGTTTTCCCCCATTTCTTTTCTTCATTTTAAATGCTGTTGCAGCATATCTCAGCAAAGTTTGCTAGAAAATACTTGAAAGAGGGTGGTGATGCAACTGTAAATGATATGGATGGGAGGACTTGGTGTATCAATTACCAAAGAAGAGAGAATGGAACTTCAGGTGGCCTATTCTCTGGTGGGTGGATAAAATTCTCACGCGATAATCATTTAGAAGTGGGTGATGTCTGTGTGTTTGAACTGGTTAATCCAGCAACCGATAAATTTAAAGTTGTCATTTTTCGATACAACAAAGACCCAAGTAGCAGCTATCCATCACCTGGTCAGTTTTCCTTCTTGAATGTTTAAATCCAATGGTTAACTTGAACATGGTTCAGAAAACAGAACTTACTTTGGTTTTAGTTTGATATAATTCAGGTAAGAAAAGAAAATTGAAACATAAAGAAAAAGAGAGTGCAAACAGATGCAAAAAAAGCAAAGGGCCTTCCATTGAAGGTGAAAACAGATGTACCTCAAGAAATCCATTATTTATAAAGGTGATTCAGTCATGCCATTTGATAAGGTCTCCCTTGGTAAGGTCCTTTGAACAAAGTTCACACTAGTTTAGCAGAACAATATATGCAAGAGTTCTAGCCATGGATGATTCTGAGTTTCGGAAACGTTTCCACGTGTCTGTTTCCTTATATAAATTACCATTTTTCGTGTAAAATTATATTTTAAATATTATTTCTCCGTATCTTTTCCAGGTTTCTTCATTTCCATGTCCGTTCAACATAAACAAAATGCATCACAAATTTGTATTTGTTTTGTGCAGCATGTTCCGCTAGAGTTTATGGAAGCACATACTAAGCAAATGAAAGAGAATGTGACATTGCAGGTGAAAAACAAAAGCTGGGCTGTGAAATTGCTCAGCCATGCAGATAGAGGTTTTTTCTCTGCTGGTTGGTTTACATTTGCAAGGGAAAATTGTCTACAAGCTGGAGATGTTTGCACCTTTGAGTTGATTGACAGTAGAACTATGGTGTTCAAAGTCCACATTTCTAGAAATTTTTAACTAATCTGTTCTTCACATTGCAATCTTTTTTTTTTCTTTGGAGGGTTGTTTTTTGTAATGTTGTGCTGCTTAAGACACAATTGTAATTACTAAAGGAAACTAATGACTCATTGCTGTCACTCTGTATTTTAACTGCATATTTTGTATTAAGAGCCCATTGCATTTTATTTTAATTAACTATTTAATTACATTAGGTTATAACAAAGTCATTTAAAGTAAACATAAATTATAGTTGCTTGAAATGAATTATTTAACTTCTTATTTTATATGCCATAATTTAGAATTTAATTTAATTGAATTTTTTAAAATTTGTTGATGTGGTCATAGATGATCAACATCTTCTCTTAGCTTTGGGATATATATAGGAGAAACTAGCATGATTTATTATTTTTAATTCGTATTAATAATTATTTTATATTTTAATATATTAAGAAGTATTAATTAAATTCCAGAACTTTTCATTAAGAATTAAAATGTTACTATTATAAAAATTTATTATATTTAAAATTGTATATGTTTTATGATAACATTTACAACATGCTTAAAAAAATTAATCATTCACTTCGTCTTCTATTTATATATTAAATAGGTGATGGAGTAATATTTTAATTTTAATTAGGTTCAAATCGTCATAATTACGGTTTTAATATGTTTATATATTAAATATGACCATACAATTTATTTGATGATTTAGGTTACTAAGTCGTTCATTAAGTTACATTATTCTTGTGTTTTTATTTAATATTTAAAATCAATATAATGATTTGCTGAAGTTATTATAAAGTATAATTAAATTATTTAATTTAAAAAAAATTATAAATTTGAAGTCCAAAATTTATCTATTTTTCTATTTTAATGTTTCAATAATATTTTCCTTTTTTATCAATTAAGGGTTCGAATTAAAAAATATTTTACAATTAAATGTGTTTCACCGAAATTTCTTGCCACAATAGTCGAACCAAAGTTTGTGGATATTTAGGTAATTCAATCAATTAAACGTTGCGGCGGGCAGTAATAATATCAAGATTCTTTTTGGATTTCTTAGTTGAAAGGTGTGGTTACTGATTTAACGGATGCTTCAAGAACTCAAAACTGGACTCTATATCTGTTAAGACATTGGTTTGGTTATGATAACTTCGTCTGTTCAAATTCTAAACAGCTAACATCGAAATAAAAGCTGCTATCTTTATCATATATCTTTACCCATCTTGTACAAGAAACAACCAAGAAGAAATTTGTTCAAGATGAAGGATTCTTGCCCTGGGAAAGGTAGTGAACGCTTGATGTTTAAAGCAGATAACCCCCAATTTTTCAAGATAATTCTTGATGATAATAATAGAAAGCTTGTAAGTTTTTCTTTTCTTTTTATATGTTTTTATGTTATCTTATAGTTTCATATCTTGTGTTGCTATGTTTTCGTAAAATTAAGAATTAGATGGATTCCTACATGGACAACATAAATTTATTCGCAAGATTTGATCTCTTGAAGATTTTTTTTTTTTTTTTTTTTTTTTTTTTGATCTTCGTGAAGATTTTGTTTTTTTTTTTTGGGTTTTTTTTGGATAAATTTTCTTGCAAAGATTTTTTTTTTTTTTTTTTTTTTTTTTGGGATAAATTTTCTTGCAAAGATTGCTGAACTTCAAGATTCTGTCTATTAGGCTATTCCAAGAAAGTTTATTAGAAGCTATGGAAATTACCTTTCAAGTCCAGCAGTCTTGAAGGTCCCTACTGGTGCGAAATGGAGAGTAGGGCTAAACAAATGTAGTGGTGAGATTTGGTTTGATAATGGGTGGCAAGAATTTGTGAAATATTATTCTTTAGCCCATGGATCTTTAGTAGTTTTTGAGTATGATAAGAAAAATTGCCATTTCAATGTAATTATATTTGATAAGAGTGCTTCAGAGATTGACTATCCATATGATGTTTCTAATGGAGATACTGAGGAGCCTAATAATCTTGAAAAAGAATTTCCAAAGCCAAAGACTGAAGAAGAAACTGAAACTGATGTCTCTGTTGAAATCTTGGATGGTTTTTCACTGTCCCGAAAAAGAAAAGTGAAATCACCATTGCCATGCTCTCAGCCTCCTAAGAAGATGAAGCCAGAAAAACCCTCAAGAAATAGTGAAGGTAATACGTGAAATTTGGCCTAACAAAACAATATATATCACCTTTTTTTTTTTATTCACTTCTTACAAAACTACAGGACTTGATTTTGCAGCTAAAAAGGTAAATGGAGGCTTGTTTAGTGAGAAACAAAGGTTAGATGGGGTTGTGGTGAGAAGACAACCGTTGACAGCTAAAGAAAAGGCGACTGCACATCATAGAGCAAACACTAATTTTAAATCTGAAAATCCTTTCTTCATTATTGCAATGCAGCCATCATATGTTCATTATGGAGCTAAGTTGGTAAACATTCAATAAAAAATTTATTGTTCTAGACTATTAGAAACGATGTTTCATGTTCTAATCTAACTCTTTGGTTTATTAATTTTTGCATAGGCTATACCCGCAAACTTTGTCAGGAATTATTTCAAGCAGAAGCGTGGCAAAGCTGCTCTGAGTACTTTAGATGGTAAAAGTTGGTCTGTTGAGTATTACTACTGTGTGTCCAATGGAAAAGCAACAGCTAGACTAGGTAATGGTTGGAGGGAATTCAGTGAAGAAAATAACCTGGAAGTTGGTGATATTTGTGTCTTTGAACTGATTATTCGCACTAAAATCACATTCAAAGTTGTTATTTTGCGAGATAGCAAAAGATCAAGTAGCAGCCCATCGCTTGGTGAGTTACTTTACCTTTTGTTTGGTATAGATGTACTTGTACGTACTTTGATAGAATTTTGTTTAATCATGTTGAATTCAGTAAATTCAGTTCAAGAGAGTGAAAAATGAAATTTTATTTTTCATTCCAAACCTGAAAACTCGAAATTTCAAATGAATTTCACAAATTTAATGGAATTTATCTATACCAAACAAAGCCATAATTTTCTATTTAGTCCAATGTGGCTATGGAAACAGAATGTTTACTCTGTTCTGAATTGTTGTCATGCAGGAAACAGCAAGAAATTGAAACAAGAAAAGAATTTAAGTTGCAGACAGTTTATTCCAAGAAATTCTTGTTCAGAGTCGCCTGGAGCTACTGAAGCTGCCAAGAATTTCACTTCACTGAATCCATTCTTTAAAGTGCTCATGAAACCATGCTATCTTCGAAGTACCACGGTGGTAAGCTTTTGTATAGACACTAAATTTGCAAGCTTTTGTATTAATCTTGCAGAACTGTTTTAGGAAATTGATTTATATAGGTGGTGATGAACTTTAATAATACTTTATCATTTGCAGAATGTACCCTTAACAGTTGTCGCTAAATGTACAAAGCAAAGGGTAGAATATGTGACATTACAAGTTGAAAACAGAAGGTGGCCTGTGAAATTAGTCAGAGATAGATCACATGGCAGAAGACAGAAGATGTCTGGGGGATGGATTTCATTTGCAAGGGAAAATTCTCTACAAGAGGGAGATGTTTGTTGCTTTGAGTTGATTAATTCTGAAACTATGTTGCTTAAAGTCTCCATTTTCAGAAATGTTTGATGAGCTTGTTTACCATTTTGGGAGATTCTTGTAGTGCTATTACAGGTTCGGAGTTTTGTATTATGTAGAGAACTTGTGACTTCTTTTTCCATTCTTAGATTTGCCTGCCAGGGTTGTGACCAATTTTTGGTGATCATTTGAAATAAAATATACTAATAATTACAAAAATAAATTCTTATTTTGGTGATCATTTGAAAATTCTAGCCGAAAATCTATCAAAATTTTATGAATATTGGTCTAATTGAAATAAAATACAAATTGAATGTGTTTTATGGTAACAATGCAGCTTTTTTGGAAAATATAATTTTTAAATAAATAAAATTACACATTAGTTTTTTTTCGCAAAAAATCTTTATGTTAAAATAAATAAATAAGTCGAGAGTTCTAATTAACATAGAGCAAAACTCATAAGTTGAACACCGCAATATTTTTTTTTTACTCCCCTACTTAAAATCCTCATGATCGATTGAATCACGACCAATTAGAAATTCAAGGACAAGTTGATCAAAGCCGCTGCCGCCACCGCCACCGTCACCGCGCCGCTGCTAAACGCAAGCTTTAACCTTTACGGTAATGGCAGACTGCCAGCCGCAATAGCCTGCATGCTCTTTTAACCTTCCCAAGTAGTAAAATCGGTTACGTAATAATACAAAAAGGTATTTTGCTCAATTCTTATATAAATTAATTTGGTAAAAGGTGGTTTTATTGTTCATCGATGGCTTCTGGCTCCGACAGAGACAACGAACGCTCTTTCTTTAGGCCAATTACGCCTCACTTTTTCAAGATTATTCTTGATGATACCATTCGTGATGGGAAACTCGTAAGATTTTTTTTCCCCTTTTCACTCTCCCTAATTGTTACTACATTAGTATTATGCTACAGTAATTAATTACAATTAACTTGTGGTAGAAAATTAAGAGATATTTAATTGTGATCATAATATAAAGTTTTTTTTAATTAAAATTTTTATTGTTTAATTTTTACTCATTAATTATTTGACCTAAGTAACAACTATTGTTAAACAATTAATACCAAGGCATATCTAGTGTTGGTGCATGACCTGACAACTGAATTTAAGAAACATGATTAGGGTAATTGTTTTTTGGTTAATCAGGTTGGAATTAGGATGCTAAAGACAACTTTAGGTTAATATATATTTTTTTATATACTATATTAGGTGTCCGGTTTTACGTTTACGGTAAACTCTACTCTACTAATCCCCCTTTGCCCTTATAGGCAGAGGGACTGTAAGTTGCAGATGATCAAACTCATGACCTAATTCACGTGATCAAGTCTGCAAGTATCTGCCCATTCGGTTACTTTAGTTTGATATTTTTGGTTGATGGGTAAATAAACATTCACATAAACAGATTGTCTCTCTTACTGGCAAAAATTCCATCAATGTGTCGTGCATTATATATGTGTTTTTGTTTTTATTATTATTTTGCATTATATGTTTTATTATTATTTTTTGCATTATATATATATATATATATATATATATATATATATATAATATATATGTGTGTGCATTATATATGTGTTTTTGTTATATGTGCATTATATATGTGTTTTTGTTTTATTATTATTTTGGCAATTATATATATATATATATATATATATATATATATATATATATATAAGTATATATATATATATATTATATCTAAGCAAAATGTTTTATATAGCAGATAATTCCAAGGAAGTTTTTGAGAGAGTATGGAATAATAAATAACCAAATAAAAGAGTCCTTAAGGTCCCAAGTGAGCAATCTAAGAAATGTTTTATATAGCAGATAATTCCAAGGAAGTTTTTGAGAGAGTATGGAAATAATCTACCAAATAAAGTAGTCCTTAAGGTCCCAAGTGGAGCAACATGGCAAATAGAGTTGATGAAATGTGATGGTGAAATTTGCTTACAAAAGGGTTGGCAAGAATTTGTGGAATACTACTCTATAGCTTGTGGTCACTTGCTTGTTTTTGAATATGAGAAAACTTGTCATAGTTTCTATGTACTCATATTTGATAAGAGTGCTTCAGAGATTGACTATCCATTTAGCTTTACCAATGGTGATAATGAACTTAAAGACCCAGAGATCGGAAAAACTGAAGAGGAATCACCATTACCATTCCTTCATATTTCTAAGAAGGTGAAGTTGGAGAATTCTGAAGAACAATCTGAAGGTATCACACAAAATTTTCTTTCTTGAATTTTTTCATATAATTTTGTAGCTTATTAATTAATTGTTTTGTTTCTTAGTATTTGCAGAAAAGAAATGCCATGAAAGCAAGTCTAGTGAAAACCAAAAGGAGAATGTTGTGCCTCCAAAGATACAATCATTAACAGCTAAAGGAAAAGCCAGTGCTCTTCGTAGAGCTAAGACTAAGTTTAAATCTAGAAATCCTTTTTTCATGGTCGCAATGCAGCCATCATATGTTCGTGGTAGATCTAAAATTGTAAGCATTCGTATCATCAAATTTTGCAACTCCACTAATTAGGCTCTGATTAAGATTTAAACTTGCAATCTTATAGTTCTGGAGATAACTTCATTATTATAGAGACTATATATAGTGTTCATACATAACATGCTAGATTTATGCATAACCTTATTGGATTTTAAAAATCATTTATTTTATTGTTTGTGCAGACAATATCAGCAACGTTTGCTAGGAAATATTTCGAGAAAATGCAAGGAAAGGTCATCTTGGAAGACGGGAATGGAAGAGTTTGGTCTGCTAGGCACGTAAGAAGAGGAAAAAAAGCAAGCATTGATAATGGTTGGAGGAAGTTCTCAGAAGACAATGAATTGGAAGTTGGTGATGTTTGTGTCTTTGAATTGGTTAATGCTGCTAAAACTAAATTGAAAGTTACCATTTTTAGACATAACAAAGATACAGATAGAAAAACACCAGTTGGTGATGTTGGGTACGTTACAAAAGGTATGAATGTTTGCAAATTTGAGCCCATTACGTATAAAAATTAAATGGGTGACTAAAAGTGTCTCTATTTTATTTTTGTCTTTTTTTTACAAGTTTCAGATTAGTCTTATCAGAATTTTTTTGTCTTTTTTCACAAGTTTGAGATTAATCTTATCGTAGAATTTGTGATTGCTCTTTCTCGTAAATATGTTTTTAGCTAAATGAAACCCTAACTTTATAGAGATGTCTAAACTCAAACTTAGAAGTGTATAGCTAGTTTGTGATTATAATTTTTGTTTTATGTCAACTAGTTTGACTTCTTTCTCTATTCTTGATTGTTTGTTAATGGGGTTTAAGGTGAAAAATATCAACTCTTGGTGTAGTTAAAGATAATTTATGTATTTTTGTTTTCAAGTAATCATTAAAAAAAAATTATGAAGATAATTTATCTTAAAAATTAATTATTGGCTAAATAGTAAAGTTCTATTATAACATGTGTATTTAATAGTAAAATGATGTTAAGAGGAATTTATTTGTTTAATTATCATATAAAATTTTTGCTGCAAAAATATCATTAAACGTTCATAATTCATCATCCAAACAAAATAAAAATTAATTAAATTAATAGTCTATTGAATCAATGTAAATGTATTACACTCGTTTAAATTTAGAGTACTCTCTATTATGAGAATTTTATATGAATATTATCTTGAATTATTAATAAAAAAAGGTTGTTTTCTAATTTAAAAAAATAAAAAAAAGATTACCATATGTACAAAATTAAAGTTGTATACGGAATCAAAATGGATTATTTATTAATAAAGTTTGATTTTGAACCAATGAGCGATGGCGTTGCTTAATAGGTTTAATACCAAGGACAAAAGACTCAATGGAATGAGGCACCTCCTCAAACCATATGGAATCATCAAGAGATCTAAAAGCTAGTCTAAAGAGCTCATGTGCTACTCTGTTATTAACTCCACTAACATGAACACATTTGAAATTAGCATAGAAGCTAACCATGGAATCAATATTCAATAAATGAGTCCCAAACTCAGAGTTAGAGAATAGCTTAGAGGTAATATGACGAACCAAAATGACAGAATCGTACTCCAGGATATGCCCGGCATTCGTAGATCATTCCTCCTTCGCTTTTTCTTTTGCTAAAGATGAGTCAGTTCAGAGGACCCTGAACAAGAAGAGGCAAAGATGCCGAGGAAAAACTCATCTCCAGCAATTTAGAAAGCCCAAAATTCGCTGCCTCAGCTTCAGCCTCTTCAAGGGAAAGGACCAGACCACAGAATGGAGTACCAGCACCCATGACCTCACCTTGCTCATTTCAAACTACAAAGCCAAATCCACAGCCCTGGGGGTCCTCACCGACGCATCCACATTCAGTTTCACCCAGCCCCTAGGCGGAAGATGTCAGCGCTGCTCCGTCCCTACCACACTACCCAATTCCTGTGAAGCATTTGCTTGTTGGAAATCAACTAAGCAAGTGAGAGCCATTTGAGTTATCTCGTCCCCTCCTAATCGCTTCTGCTGAAACTTCACCAGGTTACGAGAGTGCCATATAGCCCAGGCCAGCATTGAAAAGAGCTCGACCTGCTTTGCTTGAAAATTGTGCAGAACAACTTCAAACCATTCCATAAAGCTCAGGACCTGATACTCAGTAGTAATTAATCGTGAAGGTGAAAGTTTCCAAACTTGTTGGGTGACACATTCCTTCAAAATATGGAAAATCGTCACACACCAAATTAATAAGCGCATCGTTTTTGCGCAAGAGCATCAGCGACTGGGAGGTGGAGGTGGTTTTTGCAGGCTTTTGAATAAAAAAAAAAAAGGCTAAAAATATAAATTTATCTTTGAACGTTATAGTTGTTTTTTGTTTGAAAGGATGAATTTTGTTGTTTTCACATAATAGTACTTAAATTTTTATTGAATCTATTAAACATTTTAATTTATAAATTAATTCTTATTAATCATTCAATTGATAAAATCATTTTATTAAATACTTTAATTTATAAAATTAAATATATATTAAATAATTGAAAATGTAAAAATTATTGTTTAATTCGCAATAGTTTTAATATTAAATTAGTATTTAACCATACTGCAAAAATGCTTATGATATTATCATAATTTTTAATTTTTAGAATATAAAAAGTTCTTCTTTAAGGTTAAGGTAACAAAAAATTAAGTAATAAAGTTCTTATGTGAATTTATTTATTTGGTAAAAAAGAAATAATATCATTTGGAGTATTTATTTTTGACACACCTAATTAATTGTGCAATTTAAACTTTTAAACTTAATTAATTTAGTACAGAGCCGATTATTTGTTATTATCAATTATCAAAATAGTAATTTCCTTTGAAAAAAACATTATCAGATTCGTAATTTAGCAAAGTTGTTTGACAATTAAAAAAGAAAAAATTCCTTTTCAAAAAACAAAAAGGCAATGCGTTATCAAAAACCTCGTTTTGATGTAGGTTTTTTCAAACAAAGCTGATTTCCCTATTTTGGCTCTCGCCCTGTATTCAAAAATTGATTCTGACGTCACGACTTTGTGGCTTATCCGATCTGTTGACTGTGATTCCTAGATTGAAGTTTATTATTCCTCTTGCCTCAAGCTCGCGTTGAAGACGAGCAGTATGGTTTCTCTCTCTCTCTCTCTCTCTCTCTCTCTCTCTAATATAAGTTATTTTCGGCATTTTGTTTAGAATTTTTTTTTCCATGAATTCGATATTATATGGAGATTTTGCTGTTTAGGGAATAGTAAATTGCTAGATGAGTGAGATTTCAGTTTCTTCCATGTGTGCTCACTTTTCAAGAATTCAAGTAGAGATTTTTTTTATTTTTTTATAAATTGTGGTTGAATTAAAAAAAATTTACGTATGTTATATATTCTATTGGTTTTCTACCAGTCCTTTTCAAGGTATGGTAATGCTATATATGTGTAATATCAAGATGCCAATTTGACCGTGGTATATTTCCTCCGCCCACAAATATAAGTAGTTTAAGGGCGTTGAACGGTGATTAAAGAAGTAATTAATCCTTTAAATTATAATAAAATATTTCTTAATTTGACTAAATTATCCTTTAGAGATGTACAGATATTCAATACAAGTAAAGGTAAAATTGGAAAAACTTTATTAATTATTCTTTTAATATTCTCAAAACAACTCATGTTTGTGGACAAAATAACTACCTTAAAATGACTTATTTTTCTGGATAGAGGGAGTGTCATATAGCTCCTAAGTCATGACAATATGCTGGAACATTCAATATTTTAGGTTTTTTATAGTCAAAGAAGGGCAGTGATAGAATCTGCAGGAGCAATTTCATTCATGAAAATCCATAACCATAAATGAAGATCAAGAATATTAATGAACTATTGGAAATTAGATTCCTTAAGTGAGGTGATAGAGCTTTTAGTGGAAATTCAAGTTTATTAGTATCCAAAAAGATTGCATTAGGAAATGTAATCATCTTCCATGCTTGATGATGATAAATGATATGATGAAGAATCCTCTAAATGAGAATTTTGTTACTATTTTTGCGTGGAACTTAGTGTTATCTATATATTCTGCAGATATTGTACTTTAGTTTGGTTGTGTTTTAATTGATTTTGCTAACTGTAATTTTTTCATTTAGATATTTGTTTCATTGTGTTGTATGGATTTAGGTTGAATTTTATGGTCTTCTTATGTTTTTTTTTTTTTTTGTTTTAAAAGGGTATTTGTATGGGTTGCGGTAGTATATGGTTGATGATAATTGGGTTTGGAACTGGTTTGCGTAATGCAAGGGTAATTATAAATGGATTTTGTGATGGGTTTGGATATCTTATATATAAATGCGTTTGGAAACAGGTAGGGCGCTCTTAGAAGGTACCCGACCTGTTGCTTCAGGAGCTATAGTAAACACATGCCTACCTGATTGCCATGAAATAAACGAAAATGTTGTGCTCAATGCTCAAGAGGGATCTGTAGTCAACGGAGAGCTGGTAATGTTCAATAATGGCTTCTTCCCATGATAGAGACACAGGACGCTCGATGTTTAAAGTTAATAAGCCTCATTTTTTCAAGATAATTCTTGACGATACTATTCGTGATGGGAAACTCGTAAGTTTTGTTTTTTTTTTATTTTTCTTTTTAATTTGTTATATGTTACTCCAACGCCTTTATTGCACATATTTCTAGTTAAGTAATTGAAGTTTGATTCAAGTTCGTGAAGTCATGACCCTTTCCTGCTACAATTATTTGGCACAGCAGAAATGGCTGTGTTTATATGGTTAAACTTGAAGGGAAAAAATGATGTATCATTTTTGAAAGAGAAAATTAAAGCTTTGTAATCAATTTCTCAAAATTTTATTAAATTAATTGTTTCGATATTTAGTAGGAATGAAAATGTTCAATTAAATCCTTATAATCAATTCCTCAAAATTTTATTAAATTAATTGTTTTCATATTAGGTAGGTATGAAAATGTTCACTCTTGTCCACATGTGTATTCATTTAAATTTAATTAGCATATATTGTCTTTAGTAGTTGTAAAAGTTTAGAATATTAAGAGGTCCCAAGTTCGAATAATGAACCAAAAAAGAAAATAGCAGATAGATGTAGACTCTGTCTGGGTTATTTTTATTTCGGACAATTTCTTGTTAGGAGGACTCACTCAAAAATTTTTTACACCAGGGCTTTCCGAGGAAGTTTGTGAAAGAGTATGGAAATAGTCTATCTAGTCCACTAGTTTTTAAGGTGCCTAGTGGAGCAACATGGCAAATAGAGATGGTCAATTGTGATGGTACGATTTGTTTACAAAAGGGTTGGCAAGAATTTGTTGAGTACTACTCTATAGCTTATGGGTACTTTCTAGTTTTTGAATATGAAAAGACTTGTCATTTCAATATATTCATATGTGATAAGAGCGCTTTAGAAATTGACTATCCATTTAGTGTTACTGATGGTGATCATGACAAGGAAAATAATCTTGAGAAAGAACTTCAAAAGTCAAAGGTTGCAAAATCAAAAGATGATGCTTTTACTGATAATAAGGAAAACAGTATCGAGAAAGAACTTAAAGAACCAAAAGTTGAGAAAAGCAAAACTGATGACTCTGTTGAAGTCTTGGATGTAGAGGAATCACCTAATCCATTTTATCGGCCTTCTAAGAAGATGAAGTTAGAGAATTCCGCTCTACAATTTGAAGGTAAAACAAATTTATACTTTGCGTAGTATTTCCTTTCCTGAGGGTATGCAAAAAGGGCATTGAAAATATAAGGGCTTGAAATATATAATTTTGTTGATTGTTTACTTGTTTGTTTCTTAATATTTGCAGCAAAGAAATGCACCAGAAGAATGTCCGGTGAAAAACAAAAAGCTAATGAGGTCTCTGCAAGGACAGAACCTTTGGCAATGAATCGAAAAGTTAATAATGCTCTTCAAAGAGCTAAGGCTGAGTTTAAATCTACAAAACCATATTTCATGGTTGAATTGCGACCATCATATGTTCATAATGGAACTCGTGTTGTAAGCATTCAATTGAAATTTGAAACTCTACTAGATTATGAAAATCACATTTCTTGTTTGATCTTCTAAACTATCTCATATGTTTTTTAATGTTTGTCTAGTCTATAAAAGCATCATTTGCTCGGAAATATTTAAAGACTGGGCGTGGAGATGTTATTCTCAATGATGTGAATGGAAGGGTTTGGTCTGCCAAGTACGCGAAACATGGGAAGCTGGGATCAAAAATTTTTGAAGGTTGGAGGGAATTCTCACAAGATAATGAATTGGAAGTTGGTGATGTTTGTGTCTTTGAACTAATTAATCGCTTTGAAATTACGTTTAAGGTTGTCATTCTCCGAGAAGTAAAAGATGACAATAAGAACTCAATTCTTGGTAAATGTAAATCTGTGCTTTTTGATTAATTTTAACTTCTATTGGTCAACATTCTTCAGAAATATAGAACTGACTCTGCTTTTACTTTATATAATGCAGGTAAGAGCAAAGTGAGACACGAGAAAGAAATTATCTCGAAAAATCCATCCTTCAAAACTATTATTCGACCAGGCCATCTAGACCAACGCTGTGTGGTAGGGCCTTGAATAACTTTCGAGAAATGATATTTCAGGGGGGAAAAAAAAAAAGAATGAACTCTGCTAAGTAGCATTAGAACTAAGTGTACTTGTAATGTGCAAATGAAATGATATAATGTAATTATTTGTTAATCTTGCACGCAATTTTGTTAGATTCAGGCCATAAATCGAATCGAGAATCTATAATTCAAATGCGCATTCACTGGCTAGTTAATTTCAATTATATTGTCTTCAGTGTTGACAAGAAATTAGATAAAGTAGGATTTCTAATGGTTTTCAAATTTCTTCCTTGTCCAGTATGTACCTGTTGAGTTTATGGCAGAATGCAGGCAGCGAAAATTCACAGGGAATCTAACGTTAGAGGTGGAAAACAAACGATGGTTAGTGAAAGTAATCAACTATGATCAGCCTCACTGTCAAGGCAAGTTGTCTGCGGGATGGTGGTTATTTGCGAAGGAAAATTATCTACAGGAGGGAAATGTTTGCATATTTGAGCTGATTGACGGTGAAACTATGCTGATAAAGGTCAAGATTGTTAGACATGTACATTAACCATTCATGTTGCTGTTTTAAGTGCAGAAAGGAAAGGAGGAATCTTTCTGTCTTTTGTAGTTTTGGATGGTTTAGCAGAGATAATTTTATAATTGTGAATATTAATGAAGTTACAATTTGATTTTCACTGATGTAATATAATGAGACTTGCACCTCTTTTTTTCTTTTTTTTTTTTTCTTTTTCTATTTTAGAAACTAAGGATTGTAATGCTGCAAATGAAATGATTATAATGTAATTATTTGTTTTAATCTTGCCACGCAATTTTGTTAAATTTTCAGGCCATAATTCGAATCGAGAATCTATAATTCAAATGCCCGCAATCACTGGCAGTTAATTTCAATTATATTGCTTCAGTGTGACAACGAAATTAGCATATAAAGTAGGATTTCTAATGGTTTTTCAAATTTCTTCCTTGTCCATATGTACCTGTTGAGTTATTGGCAGAATGCAGGCAGCGAAAATTTCACAGGGATCTAACGTTAGCAGGTGGAAAACAAACGATGGTTAGTTTGAAAGTAATCAACTATGATCAGGCCTCACTGCCAAGGCAAGTTTGGTCTGCGGGATGGTGGTTATTTGCGAAGGTAAAATTCTACAGGAGGCGGAAATGGGTTTGCATATTTGAGCTGTTGACGGTGAAACTATGCTGATAAAGGTCCAAAGATTGTTTAGACATGTACATTAACCATTCATGTTGCTGTTTTAAGTGCAGGAAAGGAAAGGAGGAATTTCTTTCTGTCTTTTTGTAGTTTTGATGGTTTAGCAGAGATAATTTTATAATTGTGAATATTAATGAGTTACAATTTGATTTTTCACTGATGTAATATTATGAGACTTGCACCTCTTTTTTTCTTTTTTTTTTTTTCTTTTTCTGAAGTGGTACAAGCCAATTATTCATAATTTTCTGTTTTTGCATGTAACACAAAACCAGAAAGTGGCAATGCATTTTCCAACAGTTGATTCAATAATGCCTTTCTTGACATTTTTCCACAATTGTCGGTGGACCATGATAACCAACGTAGGCAAGGTCCCTTTTAACATTTAACATGTTAAGTTGTTACAGATATACTTATTAAGTACAATTAGAATATATATATATATATATATATATTATATATATATATATATGGACAAAGGTATATTTTTATTATTAACTACTCCCTCTGACCATTTTTAAGTGTAACGTTAAATTTTCTTTTTTTTTCCTATTTTGTTTGTCATTTTAGAAAACTTATCTTCTTTTTCAACTTTATGCTTTTCACTATTATGAAAGCATTAAGATATATTTACAGAACTGAGGATGGAGGAAATATTTGAATAGCTTTGCTATTTTTGAGACTTGTCAGATTATGTAGGAATAATTAATGAGGAATAGATAGATGCAGATTATTGCTCTGTACAACAAATTGCAGCAGAACCAAAGCTGTGGCTATTGAGTTAACCAAAACTCTAATAATTATTGACTTAATTATGCCTTTTCATTATGCAAGTTCATATCATGATCCAATAAAAGCCAGCGAACCAACAGTCAGTACTCATATAAACTCTTTATCAAGTAAATATAACTCTTCATCAATGGCTTCTTTGCCGAAAAGAGAGGATGTAAATTTGATGCTTGAAGCAGACAAACCCCATTTTTTCAAGATAATTCTTCAAGATTCCATTCGTGGTGGGAAGCTTGTAAGTGTTCTTTTTTTTTTTTTTTTTTTTTTTTTTTTTTTTTTTTTTTTTCTCATATTTTTGTCTTAATCTTCCCTTTACGCACCCCACTAAGTGGCACTTCACTCTCTCTTTCATATACATTTGTTATTGGTCTTTGCTTTTTTACAGAATAATTCTTTCATGCTGAATGATTTAAATTGCTGCTTGGTTTAAATTAATTGTCTCTTGCAAATATTCTCTTTTAATTTTTGGATAGCTTTTCTGTGATTTTATTTTTTACATGTATGATATGCAAGGTCCATCAAAGCTAGTACCTGTCAACGATTGGCAATCATGAAATGGAGATAGAAATTGCGAGTTTTCCTTATATTCCTTAACGAGTTGCGCTGCATTACTAGGTGCAGCATAAAAAAAATGGAGAGGTGCGATAGCTAATCAATATGGTGATGGTGAGGTTGGTCAAAAATGGGTTGGCAAGAATGTCTGTTGGAATACTACTTCTTAGCTTCATGGATCTTTCCTTGGTTTTTTCACACTATATGGATGAAAAATTGAGCACGAGACTTCTCCATTGATTATAACTTGATCAATAGAGAGTGCCTTTCAGATGATTGGATCAATTCCCAATATTACAATAAATCTTGAGAAAAGATATTATTCCATAGATGCCTTAAGGTATGTTGTCAGAAGAAAACCAATTTCTGATATATCATGCCTGAAAATCTTTGATGGCTTTTGCTTCAATTCGAACACCCGCTGAAAGCAAGACCAAGAATCTCCCTTGCCTTATCCTCTTATCTAGACTCATAAAACTAGGAAAAGCTTTTGACCTAAATCCCCACAAGAAATGAATAAAGGGAATAATTAATTTTTAAGTAATATGATAGTGGATTAAGTTTTTTCTTAATACGGCAAACATAACAAATTCCCCTTAAAACATAATAGCTGAACTTAAAAAAAGCTATACGTAGGATTTGATGTATCTAAATTATTAAAAAAATTATAGGCATGATATTTATTTTAAAGGTGCTCATACATTAGTTATGAGGGATATTGTATTTAAATCTAAAAAGAATATATTCGTTTTGTGACTTTGTCCTCTGACCACGTTTCGCAATCATGTAACACAACAAAACAATTAGAGCACTTGAATTTGCCAAGGAACGATAAACTATCCGTCAAAGTGTGGTAATATAATGAGGAAGATCTAATAAAACAAATTAGATAGGGCTAGGAAGGCGTTTATATTATGAATCAAGGAGATTAGATATATTATATGCCAAAATAAATCAATAAGTGACAGCTTGAAGAAAAGCTGGAAATACTTAACTGACTTTTAAAGAGAGCAATATATACACTTTGGTATTTAAAAATTTCAGAAAAAATACCCTTTCTCTCAATTAATATATATTTTGCTTCTTACAAAAATTAGAGCACTTGATTTTGCAGCTACAGAGGGAAATGAGGAACAAAGATTAGATGGGGTTATGGTGAGAAAACAATCATTGACAGCTGAAGAAAAGGCGAATTCACTTCAGAGAGCAAATATAAATTTTAAATCAGAAAATCCTTTCTTCATTATTGCAATGCAGCCATCATATGTTCATCCTGGAAAGAAACTGGTAAACATTCAGTAAACATTTTACTGTATTAGACTATTATTTTATCTAACTTTTTGGCTTTTTATTTTTTCCGTAGGCTATACCAAATGCCTTTAGCAGGAAATATTTCAAACAGAAGCGTGGTGCGGCTGCCCTGAGTACTTTTGAGGGTAAAACTTGGTCTGCGGAGTTCTACTACATAGTGCACAAGGGAAGAACATCAGCTAAACTGCTTAATGGTTGGAAGAAATTTGCACAAGAAAATCACTTGGAAGTTGGTGATGTTTGTGCCTTTGAACTCATTAATCAAACCAAAATTACATTCAAAATTACTATTTTTAGACATGATCAAGGTGAACTCAAATTTAATCAATCTGTTGCTGCAGATAAATTATTCAGAAAGAAAAAAGAATTAACTCTGCAGAACTTTTCCAGGAAACAAGAAGCAACCGGTCGGTGAAAAAAGTAATAGCAGGGAGAAGTTTATCCAAGAGTACCCTTCATGTTCAAATCTTTGTGTTGCTATTAAAGCTGCTAAAGAGTTCACATCAATTCATCCATTCTTCAAAGCTGTAATTACAGCAAGCCATCTAGGACGGGCCAATGTGGTAAGAGTCTAGCGTTATTATTATACTGCATATAGTGACTCTTATCTCCCTCAAAGATCTACAATGTACCGAAAGAAAATTACCAATTAATGCAAATTGATTACTCATTTTCAATATATTTCACGTTAAAAACCATTAAAAATACATTTAAGACTTGGTGAACGTTGATGGTGCTCAAGATTTTGCTTTTTGCAGCATGTACCGCACGATTTCTTAAGCGAGATGCAACAAAGCAAAGAGAAAGCAAAATTGCAGGTGGGAAATAGACGGTGGGATGTGAAGTTGAATCTCTATGCAAATAAAATGAAACACAGAGGCGTGTTATCTGCTGGATGGTGTCAATTTGCGAGAGAGAATTCTGTGCAAGTGGGAGATGTTTGTGTGTTTGAGCTGATTGACAATCAAGCTGTGGTTATGAAGGTCTCCATTTTTAGGAATGTCCAGTAATTATTTCTGGTTTTGTGGTAACATTTCTGTCTTGAACAGGGGACGTGGTTATTTTATTTTGACATGTTCTTTTTTATTGTTTTTATTTTTTATTTATTATAAGCTTGGATGGTTTTTAATATCAAAAAATTGATTTTGTAATTATATATATTAACTAAATGCGGCATTTTTAAACCGGACCAAAATATAATTTCAAATCAAGGTACAACTTTTGAATATCTATTAAATGATTACCGAAAGTTAAAGGTTATTGGATTCAAACCTTAACCAAATTTATCATCATTATTAAATTCATATTTAGTAATATCTAATTAATTTTTCAACTTAATTAATCGTTAAAATTTTAATTCAAAGATGAAATAGATAAAAATAGTAGGATATAATAATTGAAATTTAGTAAAAATTGGAAAAAAAAAGTACTTGAAAATTGCAGATTTTGCAGACATGTTTTGGTAATTGTCTTGATGAAGAAAGAAAACTAAAATTTGAATTCAAATATCAAATAAATTAAAATTAATATGATAATTCAAATTTTTACAAATTAAACAAAGTTACTTGGAACTCCAAAATTTTTGTTATTATGGTAATAATATCTGGTGGAAGTAATGTTTATTAATGAACGATTTGGAAAGTAATTATGATAAGTTGGTAACTAGCGTATTTTTAACTATATACTAAAAAGAAAGATAAAGTATGAACTATTTTTTAAAATATTTACATTAGTTTGTTTCGTAAAAGGAATCACGGACTCCATTTAGACAAGTATAATCAAAAATTTTTTGTATGGAAAGCATATTAGGTGCACAATAGGAAGTATATTAATTAGATATTTATGTGCCTGTTCAAAAAAAAAAAACTATATGACATTCATAACTTTTATAAAAATATTACTTTGTTTTTATTAATATTTTTGTATAATTAATGCGCTACATATTATGTATATTCTCAAAATATTATAAGTAAAAGCTTTATTGTTTATATAATTATATTAAAATGAATTAGTATATTAATTAATATGTAAAATTAAAAATCATTATATTTTTTTATTTTTAACGTTAAGACTCTTAATTGAGTTTAAATATTAGATCTTTTATTGTCACAATAAAATATTAATACTTTTAATATTAAATTACTAAAATAAAATAAAATTTCTATTTATTAGTAGTCTATTCAAGTAAGGTACTTCAATTTTAAGGAATGATATTTTTTTTTCCAACCAATAAAATTAAAATTATTTTTAACTAATAAAATTAAAATACAAAAAGTAATCTGTGTATTCCTAAATTAACTAAGAATAATAATTCAATTTACATTTTTAGATATCTTATAAATAGATAGTTATGTAGATAGATGGATGGACGGATAGATTATAGACAGATAGGAGCCAACAAAATATTACTAGGAATGAATAACTATTTAATTTTAGAAGGTAATATTATTAATTTTAATATTAACAAAATTTTAATGGAAATAAAGGAAAAATAAGAAATTATACTTTGCTCAAAATAAAAAAAGGGGTAATTTTGTCAATTTCTCGCAATAAAAAATTTTCTCTTTTGTAATTACATTGAAGATTATACAAATACTACATTGTTGTAATAATTAACTACTTGATAGAGGCAAATTATTGCTCTGTGACTAATTTGCAGCAGAACCAAAGCAACAGAACCAAATTATTTTACTCTTCAACAATGGCTTCTTTGCAGAAAAGAGACAACATAAGCTTGATGTTTGAAGCAGACAAACCCCATTTTTTCAAGATAATTCTGGAAGATTCGGTTCGTGATGGGAAGCTTGTAAGTGTTTTTTTTTTTTTTTTTTTTTTTTTTAGCAACAATACACTCCATTTTTTCAAGATAATTCTGGAAGATTCGGTTCGATGATGGGAAGCTTGTAAGTGGTTTTCTTTTTTTTTTTTTTTTTTTATCTGTTCTTCCTTACGACTAGATAGTTCCGTTCCTATGGAGACATGTTTGGTTGCCTTATGAAAAGGTGCGTAATTTTTTTTTTTTTTTTAAATAACTTTTTTAATTTTTTTTTTTTTTTTTTTTTTTTTATCTGTTCTTCTTACGTACTAATAGTTCCGTATCTCTTGGAGACATGTTTGGTTGCTTGAAAATGGTGCGTATTTTTTTTTTTTTTAAATGAACTTTTTTAATAATATAATAAGTTTCTTGAGTATATTAATGCTTGAATCACTTCATTTCAATATATTTGAGTTATTAAAATATAACAATATTAGATTTCTCATTAACCAAACAGAAAAATCTGTTCCTTTTTCAAGAATTGCAAGTTAATTCCTAATTCTAAAATTTACAGTAACAGGGTAACTTGATTTGTCGGTTTGATCTCTAGCAAACGCTTTTTTTTTTTTTTTTAATTTCTTGATTGTATTTATATGTACCAGAGCATTCCTAAGAAATTTGCAAGGAAGTATGGAGATAATTTGCCAAGTTCTACAGTTCTTGAGGTGCCTAGTGGTAAAAAATGGAGTATAGAGCTAATCAAATCTGATGATGAGATTTGGTTTAAAAATGGATGGCAAGAATTTGCGGATTTCTACGCTTTAGCCACTGGGTACATGCTAGTGTTTCAATATGATAAGAAAAATTCCCATTTCAATGTCATTATACTTGACAAGAGTGCTTCAGAGATTGACTATCCATACAATAATCCTGAGAAAGAACTTCAAGTGCCAAAGAGTGAAGAAGAAACTCACATTGATGTCTCTGCCGAAATATTGTATGACCTTTCAACATCTCAAAAAACAAGAAAGAAATCTCCATTGTCTTTCTCTCAGCCTAGTAAGAAGATGAAAGTTCATCATTCCACAAGCAATGATAAAGGTACTACATATATATGTGTGTGATTTTTGCCTTACAAAATAATGCAGATCCCTGTTTGGGTTTTTTTGCTTTTTATATAACTAGAGGACTTGATTTGCAGCTGAAAAGAGAAATGCAGGCTTGTTTATTGGGCCACAAAGGGAAGATGGGGTTATGGCGAGAAAACAGCCTCTGAGAGCTGAAGAAAAGGCTAATGTACTTCAGAAAGCAAAAATCAATTTTAAATCTGAAAACCCTTACTTCATTGTTGCAGTGCAGCCAACATATCTTGGAAATAGATTGGTACACGTTAATTTTACATTATTAGACTGTTAAAATCATATTTCGTGTTTTAATATAACTTCTAATTTTTTGCCTAGGCTGTACCATCAACCTTTGCCAAGAAATATTTCAAACAGGAGCGCGGAGTGGCCACCCTGAGCACTTCGGATGGTAAAAATTGGTCTGCCGAGTACTGCAATCTTGCGTGGAATGGAATACCATTAGCTAGACTATGCAATGGTTGGAGGAAATTTGTAAAAGAAAATCACCTGGAAGTTGGTGATGTTTGTGCCTTTGAACTGATTAATCGCGACAATATTGAATTGAAAGTTACTGTTACGAGACATGTTGAAGAAGGTGAATCCAAACTTAATCAATCTGTTACTGCAAATAAATGATTCAGAAAACAGAACTAACTCTGCAGAAATTTTGCAGGTAACAAGGAGCAATCGGTGGGTGAGAATAGTACTAGCAGGGAGAATACTCAAGAATCTCCAGCTTCAGATTCCCCCATTACTGTTGAAGCTATTACAGAGTTCTCCTCTCCTTATCCATTCTTCAAACTGGTCATTTCGGCAAGCGTCCTAGGGCGTTCCAATGCGGTAAGAATCTAGTGTTAGTTCTATATAAATCTATATAAATCTATATCTATCTATATAAATAAATATTTGAAGTGATGACTTAACTTGGTATTGTTTTGCATTTTTAATTTAATTAATCTTTTTTTATTTATTATTATGCATATGTATTATGTTAAATAATTGCTATTGATGTTAAATAAAACCTTGAGTAATTTTATTAATGACATCAAAATCAATAGTGAGGAATTGAAAAGGCAATTTACAATCTAGGAATTTTTATAGTTTTCCCTTTTCAATATAAAAGTTTTGTTGTTTAAAATCCTCATGCTCTATTTTAAAGGTTTTTCCTTTTCAATATAAAGGTTTAAAATCCTCATGATTTCCTTTCTTCCTATCATGTGTTTTAATTTTTAATTTAAATTATAAGATTTCAAATGTAGAACCCATTGCATTAAAAATACAATAAATGTTGTTGTATTTAAAATTCTAAAATTCATGTGACATGCCATTCAAATATAAAAAAAAAAAAAAAATTTCATAAATTTAGAATGAGACACAAATTAGATTTCCTCTTTCATCATTCAATCAAATGATCCAAGGGGATTATTTAAATGATAAAAAAAAAAAAAAACACTTGAGATCCTTCGTTAAATTTTTTTGTCAGAAGCAATCATATCAGGCTCACGACTAGTTGGACTAGTGTTACTTAAAATGTGGCTTATCCCCTCCTACCATGTTTCTGAAACGTCGTACCCCAATGTGATATATAAATATATATACACACACATTGAAACACCAAAATTAGTGAATCGAGCGAGTTGTTTCTTATATAATACTTGAGTCAAAATTTTAATTAAATACCTCATAATCTTAAACTTTTAAATCTTCTAATGATAGTAATTAGTCATTTAGCATATTTAATAGGTTTTTAATTTTTTTAAAATGAAATCATAATGCATTAAATCAATGGAAAAAAATTCAAACAAACAAGATGCATGGGATATTATCCCAAATTTGGAGACGAACATGTTATATAGATGCTCTAGCAAGAGTATGAGCACCTATGTTTACTTGTCTCGGAACACACCTGATATTAATGTCATGGTTATACTCTAATATTCTCGTACAATCGAGAACAATTAAACCAAATTCAAAATTGTCTACGGCTTGAGACCTAAGAGATTAACAAGGTTTTAACAATCTGAAAAAAGACGCCCATTAAAAGGTAAAAATTCTTACGCATAAAGAAGACAGGAGCGAAGTGCTATAGCTTTCCACTATTGCAAGAGTATCATTGTCTTCTTGGCAACTCGAAATAGTTCGCTGATATCGACAATCGTTGTCTCTATAACGAAGCCATACCTATGAATTCTAAAGCTGGGAAACCTGAGCCAACAACCAAACACAGCCATTTGAAATCTTGTGGACTAACTGACATAGGTGCATATGCATGGCGTTGAAGCACAGAAGTTGACATGGAAGAGGCACCGTTGGGCTAGTCCACTTGCCCCCATTCCATCAAGTATTTCGTTGCAGTAGCATATATATTAGTAATTGAACTCCAATGTTGGTCGTATAACATTTGGTTTCTTAGGGACCAAATTTTTCAGGCCATAACAACTAGAAACCAGCGACATCTTTCCCTCGTGAATTAAATACCTGCAAAAAGAAATCTGAATAAGAAATATTAGCATTTGGTGCACCAAAACCTCCTAACCTTCATGCACCCACCAACCTATCACAATAGACTAAGATATGATCAATATCCTCCATCTTGCTATAAAAAAGACATCTTCATCAATATTTAATCCTCTTCAATTAAGTCTTTCCTTTGTGGGAAGGAAATTTCGACTAGCACGCCACATGAAATCAATAACTTTCGGAGGAAGATCAAGATTTCACTCTACTCCAAGTATTACCATTTAATTTTATAGGCTCCCTCCCCAAAACCTTCAAACTAGCATAATATCCCATTTCACCTTATATACTCCTTTAGCATTTGGTGCACCAAAACCTCCTAACCTTCATGCACCCACCAACCTATCACAATAGACTAAGATATGATCAATATCCTCCATCTTGCTATAAAAAAGACATCTTCATCAATATTTAATCCTCTTCAATTAAGTCTTTCCTTTGTGGGAAGGAAATTTCGACTAGCACGCCACATGAAATCAATAACTTTCGGAGGAAGATCAAGATTTCACTCTACTCCAAGTATTACCATTTAATTTTATAGGCTCCCTCCCCAAAACCTTCAAACTAGCATAATATCCCATTTCACCTTATATACTCCTTTTTTTTATCAAAATTCCATATAAGCATGTCTCCTCTGTCAAAAGAATTAATAGGTATCTCCTAAATTTACGTGGAAGTGGCACCATTGGCTAGTCCACTTACCTCCATTCCGTCAAATATTTCATTGCAATAGCATATATATCAGCAGTTGAACTCCAATGTTGGTCTGATAACATTTGGTTTGTTAGAGACCAAATTTTCCAGGCCATAACAACTAGAAACTCAGTAGCATCTTTCCCTCGTGAATCAAATACCTGTAAAAAGAAATCTGAGTAAGAAATATTAGCATTTGGTGCACCAAAACCTCCTAACCTCCATACACCATCGACCTATCACAATGGACAAAGATATGATCAATATCCTCCATCTCGCTGCAAAAAAGACATCTCCCATTAATATTTAATCCTCTCCGCGTCTTTCCTTTGTGGGAAGCAAATTTCAATTAGCACGCCACTTGATATCAATAACTTTCGGAGGTAGATCAAGATTACACACTCTACTCCAAATATTACCATTTAATGTTATAAGCTCCCTCCCATAACCTTCAAACTAGCATAACATATCCAATTTCAGTGTATGTACTCCTTTTCTTATTAAAATTCCATATAAGCATGTCCCCTCTATCAAAAGAATTAATGCGTATCCCAATAATAGTCGTTATATCTCTCGTACTAAATGATTCCATAAACTCATTAATATTCCACTTTCTACCCCCAACTTCAAAAAGAAGGTTGATATACATATTAGGATCAATAAAAGATACACAACCATACACAAAGAAAGAATTGTGTTTTGATACCTAAGGATCACTAGCAACCTTAATGCTCTCTTCATTCCTTACCCTCCACCTAACCAATTGCTTCAACACCTCACTAGAAAACAACACACTCCTCTATAAGAAACTCGGATTTCTTCTTAAAAAAGCCTTTAAAAAATCCCCCTCTGAGAAATATTTAGCTTTAAAATTCTATAAAAGAGAGTGTTAGTGTCAGACTAGTAACCTCCACCCTTGCTTACCTAGCATAGCAACATTAAAGTAATAAAGGTCCCTAAACCCCATTCCTTTATCTTTTTTAAGACTACACATCAAATTCCAAGTGAGCCCATTAATACCTTTCTCCCGTCCCTCTTACCATCCTATCGAAACTTATTCATAACCTCTTAAGTAGTTCATCACAAATAGATAAGGAAAACACTCATACAAAAGAAGGAACATCCTGAGCCACCAATTTAGGAAGAACCTCCCTGCATGCTGCAGACAATAATCTATTATTCACCCATTAACTATTTTCCTGAATCTATCTTTACTAAATCCAAATATTTGCTTCTTAGTTTTTCCAACAAGAGAAGGCAATCCTAGATAGCTACCTCCAACATAGAGGATTATAAACATCAATGACACTCGAGATATTTTGCTTCAGCTCATTATTCACATTGGGCTAATTCACATTGGGCTAAAAAAGATATTCGATTTCTCAAAATTCATTGACTGACCCGAGGCTTTTTCATACTCATGAAGGATGGACTTAATTCGGGAGGCTTCAAAAACATTTTCTAGAAAAAAGACAAGTGAGTCATCCACAAATAAAAGGTGAAAGGTTCTAGGACATCTGCTACGCTCCGACGCCATGAATTAAACCCCTTCTTTCAACATCAAAGAAAAGAAGAGAAAGACGACTCTCTGCACAAATAAGGTACATGTAGGGGGAAAGAGGATCCCCTTACTAAGCCCCTCATAGGTTTCTAAATTTATTAAATGGTTAAATAATTATCCTATTTAATAGAATATAAGTTTTGAATTATACTTTCAATCATATTACTTCTCATGCATTTATGTTAGCTTTAGAAGCTCTGATATTACTTGTTAGAAAATAGGTAAAAACTGTGATACCTTAACATTAGATAGAAAATATGATATCACTCTTGTAGAAATAGTTGAAAGAAGAAAAACATAAAAATACTTAAATTATATATTAAACTATGGTTTTCTTTGTATAATGGGTCACAATTTTACAAGCAGATAATCACACATCTATCTATATAAATATATAAAAACAGAAGTATGGAAGCTGACATGACATAAAATTAGATATTTAAAGTGATGACTTAGCATTATTTTTTTCATTTTAATCTTATTTTTATGATTTTGCATATGTATATGTTAAGTACTTGCTATTAAACAGTGAAATTAAATAAAATCTTGAGCTATTGTATTGATGACATCAAAAGCAATAGTGAGGAATTGAAAACGCAATCTACAATCAAGGAATTTCTATGGTTTTTCCTTTTCAATATAAAAGTTTTGTTGTTTAGAATCATCATTTACAACTTTATGCTTTATATTTGCTTTTATTTTAGTTTCTTTTCTTCTTATCACATATGTTTTAATTCTTAATTTTAATTATAAGATTTCAAATATAGAACCCATGTTTTATAACCTGCATTGTACTAAAAATATTATAAATTTTATTGTATTAAAAATTTTAAAATTCATTTACATGTCAATCAAATCTATAATAAAAAATATTTCATAAATTTGAAATATATAGAAATTAGATTCTACATTTCATCATTCAATCAAATTACCTAAGGAGACATTTAAATGACAACAAAGAAAAAGTACCTAAGATCCTTCCTAAAATTTTTTGTTAAAAATAATATTTCACGATCTACACGCATCGCACAAGCTCATAACTAATTTATATAATAAGACATGTGAAACCGAAAGATAACAATAAATTCTAGCCTATCATATACTTAAATAGATAATTTATAAAATACTCACACATTTAATACTTGGAAAACTCCAAATTTAATCACACTTTAATATTTCAATTTATTATTTCCAACACTCCCCCTTAAATTGCAATATTTCTTTCAACTGTGATCCAATCAATGATTTCTTCATTCTAAAATAAGGCACCTTCGAAGCTATTTTCTTCTTGTTTTAGAACATCAGCTCTCTTAATCTTCATGAAAAAAAAAAAAAAAAAAAAAAAAACTTCTTGGAAAATAATTTTATAGTTAATGACTTGTTGGCCATAGAAAACATATTTTTATGCAGTTTTTTCTATACCCAGTCTAATGACATTGCAGTCCTTTGAATTTTTCATATTTTTTGACCTTGTTGGTCCCTCCAAAGAAGTGTTTTACAATTTTTGAACATGCAGGTCCTTTTTAGAAATATATTTTCAGTTTTTGGACAATGTCGGTTCCTTAGAGTTTATGCGAGTTAATGGACATGTCAGTCCCTTGAATTCTAGTTTTTGGACATTTGATAGGTTCCTCTTAAAGATTTTTTTTTTTTTTTTTTTTTTTTGGATTTCAATAAAAATTCGGGCTTCTAGGATCTTTTCTTTTGCCTAATTAGCGGCCACTATTGTTCAAATTTTTGCACCCAATTAGACCTTGATTACCACATGTTGCTTTTAGATATCTAATATCACTTGTTAGAAAATAGATGGAAAAGAGATAAAAAAAATGCGCATATCACCCTGTTAGAAACAGTTGAAAGAAGGAAAAACATAAAAACACTAATTAATATTAAAACATGATTTCTCTTTGTATAACGTTTCACAATTTCTAAATAGACCAAATCACATGTTATTCATAAGACATGGGGCACTTCATTTTTTATCATACTGTGTACCCATATAGTGCCATCTTCTACATTCGCAAATTGCTAAGCGTGTTGTACCCCATTCTGTACTGTGGGACTGCGTTCATTGGGCTTCCCGATTTTATGTAATACTGGGTTGGAACTCATAGTGCATAACTCTCCTTTGAATATATTCAATTATTGCAAATTAAATACTTTATTTTTTGACAAATTTTTCCGTTAAAAACCACTAAAAAATTACATTTTAAAAAATTCAAAATATTATTGTTTTTTTGAATTAATTGTTATAGGTTGGTGTATTTTGCATGGTATTAAAGATTATTAAACTTTCAGCATGTACCGCACAAACTTTGTGTAAGCAAAATCCAACAGAAGGCAGTGTGGAAGCAAATTTGCAGGTGGAAAAACCAATTTGGTGGCATGTGAACTTAAATATCTTATCGCCATATATAACGCAAACAGGCCTTGTTTTGTTGGTGGATGGCGTCAATTTGCGAGGGGAAAATTCTCTGAAGTAGAGATATTTGTGTCTTTGAGTTGATGATGGACGAAAATGCGGTCTTCAAGGTCTCCATTTTCAGGCATGTCAACCAATCACTTCATGCTTATGGTAAAATGCTGTTTTGGACAAGACATGTGATGTGAGCCATTTACTTTGTCATGTTCGTTTGAATTGGTTGTGAATGTTTTGAGTCTATGGACTTGTTTTCTAGGACTTCTGGATGGTTTTTCAATACTGAACTTTAATTTCGATAATAAGTTGAAACCTGGATTTTTGTTTTTTTTTTATTATTTTTCCTTATATATAATTGCCATAAAATGGATCCATTTTCCTATGAGTAAAAATGAGTTAATGTTGATGGTAGTTATCCAATATTGATTTTGAAATAATTTCTAAAATACAGAGTAAACATGCTCTGCTTCTTTTATTAAGATGTAAGCGGAATCGTTTGGCTCATGTTGTGTACGACCACACATATTCGGGGTCCTGTCACTCTAAGTATTATTATTGTGTTACGCATAATCTTAATGCGGTTTACAGTTTCCCTTAACAAAAAAAAATTTAGCTTGTTTAAGATCACCTTTAAATCTATTGCAGGAAAGTTTGACTTATTTATAATTCACGGTAAAATCAAAATATACTTGACATAAAAAAAAAAAAAAGTTCTCGAAGGAAGATTGAATTGAAAAAAAAAAAACAAAAGACAATTCAGTTTAACAAATTAAAAATAAATATTTGATTTTTGAGGAAAAATTTTCTTTCTATTATGACTAAATGACAAACTACAAACATCTTTCTAAAACATTTGTATGCCTCATTATTCTAATTTATGTGAAGAATACATATGAATTTTTTAAAAATTTACAAAGTTTTTACCTTCAACACCTCAACCATTTCCAAAACCCCTATACTTCATGTTTTATGAATCCATGCTTAGAATTAAAAGAAGGCTTTTGAGTAGACAGAGTGAGGCAGCGAAAGATTTCAAAAGTCGATCTCATTAACCACTCGAGTTTTCAGTTAAAACTATACAATAAGTTAATGAATTGAGATTGAATCTCTAACTATTGAAACTTGTTCAATTAAAACTAACTCGAGGCTCAACTTTGAATTTGGCAAAATTTGGATTCAAATCAATCAGAACTCGACTGAGTCAATTACAGTCTTAGTGTTGAATTTGAGTTTAGTTCGAATCCAAATTAAATTAAAAAGGCGGGTGTTTATGAATCTAGACTCCCAACATGACCATGAACATGAACATGATTTCATTGATGGATACCTAATTTTTAAGGGTATTGGAATTTACAACATGTTCATTTTTTTTAAACTTAACTTGCTCGAGTTAACTATATTGGGCCGGGCTTAGACAAAGCTTCAACAATTTCAAACCGATTTCAGTTCTTGCCAGAAATCGGCTCGGCCCCAAAAAGAAAAGTCACATGTCCGCTGAATATGTAAGAGAAATTTAAAATCAACTAGACTAGGGTTCAATCATTCTGTCCACATCGCCAATTAGTTGGACAAATTAAACAGACTTTCAACAAAATACTTTCTAGGGCCCGATAGAGAACATTCCTGAACCAAAAATCATATATAAGCAATACCCTGATTCTTTACCTTAGCCTTCAGTCTAGGCATATCAGAAGCCCTTAATTTTGCTTGCCTTTTTTTTTATTTCTCAGCCTCCATTCTTCAAATAAATCCTCATTTTCTTGATTTGTGATAAATGGCCGGAAAAGGAGAGGGGACGTGCATCCGGAATCGATTAGGCACAACCTATTCGTGTGTCGGCCTCTTGCCAACATGATAGAGTAGAACATCATAGCAATGATCAAGCAGGAACAGAACGACGCGTCTTATTGTTGGCCTTTACGATACAGAGCGTTTTGCATTGCGCATGCTGCCAAGAATCAGGTTGCCATGAAACCCCATTAACACCGTTTCGGTACGTTTCTTTAATCTTTTGACTTTAAGAAGACTAAGAATTGCTTTTTTATTATTTTTTTTTCGGTTTAAATTTGTTTTGAATATCTCTGATATAGTTGTTTATATTTTGGTTGCATGATTTATTGCATTTCAAATCAAGGATTTGGATTCGAATTCGACTCCTAAGGCTGCAATGTTCTAGATCTCGTTCAGGATAGATCTCAGATTTTGATCTGCCTTCAGATCTCCCTTGGGGTGTGGAATTATGCCTCTGATATGTAGTCCCTTATACTGTCTAGAGTGAAAGGAAAAGGAATTGCATTTTAGTTGTTTTTATGACTTTTTATTATTTCATCGTTTGTTGCCTCTCATAGGAAGCATAATGTTAAAGAAAGCTATTTTCGGTAACTGTAGCGGCGGTATAAATGCGTTTTGTAACTTGAAGCTATGCCTTGTTTTATTAATATATTGGATGTGGCATCTCTGATATTAGTGTATGGTTCGATGATCAAATGAGAATACGCTACAATGTAGTTCTTCAATTTTGATGAAACAAAAGATAGAGCAAAGATTTTTGCAGATTTGCTTCCTAGTTTTTCAGGTTGTTATTTTTCTAGTTGTGATAAACACACCAAGAAGCAAAACTATTTAATAATGCTTAAACATTTCGTAATTGGTTCTGTCTGTGAATCTCGGCACTATATATAATAAGCTTACTTTTGTTTGGCTGTTAATTTGGCAGTTCTATTTTTTACACCAGCATTAATCTCTTGATTGGTAGAGACTTTACTGATGTCATCTTGTTCAAATGACATTCAAGTCAAGCTTATCCAGGACCTGGTGATAAGCCAATGATTGTTGTCAATTACAAGCGGTGAGGAAGAAACAATTTGCTGCAGAGGAGATCTCTTTCCAATGGTCCTTATCAACATGCGTGAGTTTGCTGAGCTATCATCTTGGCATAACTGTGAGACAAGAGCACGTTGTCACTGTCCTGCCTACTTCAACGACTTCTCAGAGCAGGCCACAACAGGATGCTCGGTGTTTATTGCCGGTCTTAATTCCAATGGTATCATCAATGAGCCCACTGCCATTGCTTTACTGTCTTGATAAGAAGGGCAACTAGTGTTGGAGAAGAACGTGTTATTTTTGATTTGGGTGGTGGACATTTGATGTGTCATTGCTCACAATGAAAAGGAATCTGTGAGTCAGCGCACGCTGAAGACACCACCTTGGAGTGAGCGATTTACAACAGAATGGGTTGAACCAACTTTGTCAGGGAATTTAAGAGGAGAACAAGAAAGACATCAGCGGAAACCCAGAAGCTCTTAGGAGCTGGAGAACCTGCTTGTGAGAGGGCAAAGAGGATCTTCCTCTACTGGCTCATACTATAGTATAATTGTCCTCTGTCATGAGGGTATTGATTCTACTCAACCATTCACACGTGCCAGCAATTTGACGGAGCTTATATGGAATCTTTTTCAGAAAAATGTATGGAGCCCTTGTGCGAGCAAATGTCTAAGGGATCTAAGATGGACAGGAGCACTGTACATGATGTTGTTCCTGTCGCGTGGTTCCACCAGGTATTCCATATTTGCAACAACTATTGCAACGATTTCTTTAATGAAGGACGCTTTGCAAGATTATTAACCAGATGAATTCCTGTTGCTTATGGTTGCTGCTTGTCAGGTCTGCCATCTTGAGTGGTGGAAGGCAATGGAGAAAGTCCAGATCTTCTTGTTTTGTTGGATGTTTACCCCTCTCGCTGGTCTGGAAACTTTGCTGGTGTGTCATGACTGTTTTGATCCAAGAAACACAACATAGCTCTATCTCAAAGAAGGACAAGTTTTCTCCACCCTACTCAGACAACCAAACTTCGGTCTGATCCGGTCTACGAGGGTGAGAGAAAACCAGAACAAGAGACAACAACGTGCTCGGCAAATTTGAGCTCTCGGCATTCCTCCAGCACAAGAGGCCGTTCTTCAGATCACGTCAGTATTGATGCCAATGGTTCTTTGAATGTTTCAGCAGAGGATAAGACCACTGGCCAAAAAGAACAAGATCACAATACCAAAATGACAAAGGCAGGATGTGTACCAAGAAGAAATTGGAGGAAGATGCTCAGGAGGCTGAGAAGTACAAGTCCGGAAGATGATAGAGCTCTAATGAAAATGGATAGGGGGGGCGCTCATATATTATATAAAATGAATGTGTGTGTGGAGGAACTATGCATACAACATGAGAACACCATCAGGATGAGAAAAAGGATCAGTTTCCAACGGTTTGGCCGCAGCTAGATAAGAAGAAAGATGAAGATGCTATGGATCAGGCCATTCCAGTTGGCTAGACAGCAACAGCTTGAGAGCAATGAGTTCGAGTGACAGATGAAAGCAGCTTAGAGCAGCATCTCAATCCAATCATTGCCAAGATGTATCAAGGTGCTGGTGCGACATGCGGTGGCGGCATGGAAGTATTTGATTTCCTCCAGCAGTAGGCCACTGGTGCTGTCCCAAGATCGAAGGAAGTGACTAAGTGGCTTGTTTGATGCTGCAGCTAAAGATTGCGTGTGGATGAATCTTTATTTTCTTTATTGGTCAGATACAATTATTCATTATTATTATTTAACTATTCACATTAGGGACATTATGTAAAACCATCTGTCCGATTTTTACTTCAATATCTTGGCTTCAATTATTTTTCAGTTTTTGGCTTACATAAAACTGCATCTTAGTTTTATTTAAACATCTGCTATTAGATCGTTCTTGTTATATGTGGCGTGTTGCTTGTTTTTTTTATTTTTTTTTTTTTTAACTATTTTTGGAGGATATTGTTTTTCTTCCAAGTTGGAGATATAAGGTTCTTATTTGCTGTTTAATGGGGTATATGGTTGATTTGTTTCCAACTATGTTTACTTGAAGGCAGGAGGCATAAACCTTACAATGGTTGCATAACAGATAACAGTAGATTTCAAATATTATTTGCTATATCAATGCATTTTACAGAGAATTTCACTTTAATAAAATGTGTGCAATATAATATTTAATGCAATCTATGATGATTATGACTTGAATGCATGGCTTTAGCGAGCTTATGTTTTTCTGTGCTTGCCTTCGAGTATTGGATTATGGGAGCTTTAAAGATCGTCCTGTCGTTGCTATGGTTTGTCGGCTCTTTATTCTTTCTGTGGCTAATGAATCCTAAGTTTCTCCAAAGGATTTGTCTCATCTTCTTAGGAGATTTATATGTTGTATGGTATAGTCTTATACAAAATTTCATTTCATTTGTAAATTAATTTTAATTAAAAAACTATTTTGCAATAAATATTTATTGATTAAAATGAATAATAAATTCCCATTTTAAATTATTTATATTTTATTACTTTATTATATTTCTATCCAATTTTAGTAAAAAATTAATTGAATTGAATTTTATCAAAATTTATCAAAAAATTTTATTTTATACATTAGATAAATTAAGAATACAAACTAGTTTCAAAATTTTGGCCTCTTTGTGTTATTTATACATGTCAAAGTCATACATGACTAGATAAATATGTTGTCTTCTTATCATACCTGTAAAAATTTCATTATTTCTTCCTTAAAATTGCTATAACTTACCAAAATCTTTACTGTATCATGAAAAAAATAACATGGGAAACTACTTCAGAAAATTGATACTTAAACTTACCCTGACAGACGAACCTAGAATTCTATTACGAACGTTTCACTATCATGTGGATGCTGTTGCTGCAGTGCATTAGCTGTGCTGGGAGATGAAGATATTTATCTCCTTTTCTTTTTTTCTTGCTGCAGCACAGTGCACACCAAATTTGTTTTTAGAAGAAAAGCTGAAACGACAGACCTCTGTGTTTTTTGCGTGGATGTTCCATATTCAGTTCCTAACTCATTTTCAGATTGTTGGGCTGAGATTAACCTCTTCAAGAATTATCAGAATGCTAGACTAGCAGCAGGAATGATTGAAATCAGAATACATTGCAACCCTTTACATTACATTTATACAGGAATCCTCACTAATAACTACAAGGTATTGAACATAAATAACAACGCAAGCAAAAACATATCTCGAATGTTTGGAACCTGTAAGCACGATTATCTTTCCAACTTCGATCGCAAGAAACTCCCTTGAAGTTTTTTCACTTCGGGAAGTCAGTAATAGAACTGTGTACACCGAAAAAACTATATAACTGGACTCGCATTCATCATTTCTCATTCTCAGTTTGACTTTTTATCACCTTTCATAGCCAATTGCGACTCAACAAGAAGATAAAAAAAACAGTTAGATGTCAATATATCCCTTTTCTTTATAATTATATCCGTCTTCTGTCTCTACAGAAACAGAACAACGCAACAAAATAAAAAAAAAAAAAAAACTAATAAGGACTCTGCATAAGGGGGAACAGTTCTCGTAGCTTACCCTACAAGACAAATCTCCTGATCAGGCGTTCCGTAATACAAGTATGTTAATCATCGTCAGCTCTATTCATTTGCAAATATAATTTGATTTATAGTTCCTAGCTGTAATATAACAATTTGAGGAATTTCTCGTACTGTCGCAAGTGGTCAGGAATACAAAACGTTAAGATAATAAATCCCTCAAACTTGGGAGCTTTAAAAAATTCAGCCATTTCTTTATAACTTGACACATCCTTCGATGCTTTTAGTCAGCTACGTTTAAGGGATTTATTTCCTAAACATTTCATTCATCTAAAAAATTTCATTAGAAGTCAGAGTTTTCAGCATTTAAAAACAGAATCATCTAAATACTCAGAGTTTAGTAGGCTCTCTGAGTATTTATGATGCCACTGCTCCAAGACTCAATTTGATGGAAACATCAACAAGCCAAGGACATATCTGAACAGTACATTTATGAAAGGAAGCACTTGTGGGGGGAACTGAAATTATTCGAAAGGGTAAATGACAGCAGTAGATGAAACGACTTCTGAACAATAATGTAGTACAAGTCAGATTTAGCATTCAAAATTCTTCTCATTGATCTGCGTATTTTGATAAAAAAGCTAGGACAAGGAGGAATTAGCCCAATCAACCTCTTCATTAATGATGGTATTTTACAGAGATAAGAAAAAAATTTGAAGCAGTGTAAAGCATAAACACTAGAAATGTTGTCGATTTTTTTTTTTTTCTTTTTTTGAATCGATTTAAAGATCCAAATCTCTTCCAAATTTCAGTGATCACTGCCTCAACTCGAGACCGAATTGTTGTAGTATGAATTCAGTTCGACCAATATTACAGGTTGTACTATCACTACAGTATCACATTAGTAGTGGCTTTCTACATTTTATTCCCTTTATTGCATGTGGGCTATTATTAAACATGTCTCTGAGATTTCTTAACACTCTCCTCAAGTTGCCATCAGTAATTGAATTTGACATTCGAAACTAGATGCTTAGAGCTCTGATTTGAATGAACTATAACACCTAGATATAAGTAGTGGGGAGTGATGCCGGACAAAATGCTATATTATTCAATATTCAAAAACTACTTAAAAATTTTTGATACTCTATATCCATTCCAAAAACCATTTTTAAAATAGACACCCGCTATCCGTTATCTGCTATATAAATAGGTTTTATTATGAATATCTATATATATTTTCAAATAAGTTATAGGTTTACAATTTTAAATTTACAGTATTCTGTAACAATCCTACTGATCGAATCGTCTGCATAGAGTCGAGTCAAGTTTCGGCCGAACAAGAACCAGTTCGAGCCATTTAAATCCAGAGTGGGGGTAGAATGCGATGTAACCTTAAATAAGTTAAGAAGTGACTACTTGAATGAAACAAAAGATCAAGTATAAGGAGTAGGACTTACTTGCACTAAAATATAAAGTTAGGTATCTTAAAATCGTAACATATGGAAAAATATAGGTTACTATTGTAATTTTTAACAGACCACAATCAACAAATTAAATTTGGGACTACCACGAGACTTCCATTGTCAGTTTGCCTCTTCTCTTCATTTGGCCTTCACTCTTCATCTTTCAACGTCTTCTTCTCTCTTCATCTTCCTCTTCATCTCCAAGCGTAATTAAGAGATGGTGGTCAGAAGACAAATTTGTAGCCCTAATGTGTTAGCTAACCATAGCAACGGCACGAACTCACCTAATTGGGTTATATATTGAGATCTGTTGACCAAAAATAGTATAACTTGTGCAGGCTCGGAACCCCAACAGCAGACGCAGACTAACAGTTGCTACTCTGAGCTCAAATGTTTGACTACCTTAACCAAGTAATTAAGAGATGTGGAAAGACAAATGTGTAGTTGCCTAACTTGTTAGGCTAACCAGATAGAATATAGAAATCAACCCTAAAATTGGAGTTATAAATGAGAGGATATGACCAAAATAGATATAAAATGGGCAGGCTGGGAAACCAAACAGCAGGGCAGACCTGCATTGCTTACTGACTCAATATGTGCACTACCTTGCCAACGTAATTAAGAGAGTGAAGAGAAAACTTGTACCTTAAGATGTTATGCTATACCATACATTCAGATTAAGGAAAATTCTTTAGTTTGAAATTAAGTTCACTTAGAAGGTAAATGCTATAATAATTTCGCTGTGAATGAATCTACACTATGCATTCCAAATCATTTCTAATGTGTTCCTTGAAATCTGCCAGACAGCCTTGTACATTGTTTCACAAATCCTATCATAAACTCTTTCTGTATACGTCCAATTTAGTCTATTCTAAATTCTATCGGTTAAGCTAACATCTTAAGGTACAAAGTTTTCTGTCTATCACATCTCCTTAATTACGTTGGCAATGGTAGTCACATTATGAGCTCAAGTAGCAACTTGCCAGTCGCCCTGCATGTTGTTCCCAGCCCGCCCGTTCTATAGTATTTATTGTATTATTCTCTCAATTTAAAACTCCAATTTAGGTGATTCTACTATTTCTATGGTTATCTAACACATTAGGCTAACAAAATTTGTCTTCTACCACATGCTCTTAATTACCCGTTGGTAAGTAGTCAAAACAATTGAGCTCAAGTACAACTGTCAGTCTTGCCCTGCTGTTGGGTTTTTCCAGCCCTGCAACAAGTTTACCTTATTTGGTCACAGATCTCAATATACTAACTCCAATTTAGGTAGATTCCTGCTTCTCATGGCTTAGCTAACACATTAGGCTTACAAATTCTTTCTTCTACCACGATTCTCTTAATTACGTTGCGTAAGGTAGGCAAATATTTACCGAAATGAGCAACTTCCAGTCGTCCATTACTGTTGATTTCCAGCTTGCACAGTCCTGTACTATTTTGGTCATATCCTCTCCAATGTAATAACTCCAAAATTAGGTGATTCAAAAAACTTCATGACAGATAAAAACATAGCAGGAACAAATAACTCTTCTATTACCATTTTCCTAATTCCATCGTTAGAACAGAGTCAAAATCAGGTATGAGTTACTGGTCAATTGGATCCAACAACTGGTCAGCATTGAAAATCAATTATC